AAGAAAAAAAAACATTATCCCTTTGTTAGACCGAAATTACTCAGCAACAAGAATATCCCACTGTAAACTACTCTCTTGTACCTTAAAACATTTGAAGACACCTATGTGACCTTCCTCAAACTTGAGGACCTCTGGAGTTTGGGAACAAGGCCAACTGCAATATCTCCCACAATTCAAACTTCGGAGTCCCGTAAAGATACTACATTAAAACTCTTAACTCTCTACGCGGTCCAAGGCGAAGAAAACCAGCCTTAAGGATGAATAATAAGGAAGAAATGAAGAAATGTGAGTTTTAAAAAGACGATTAGAAGGAACACAGCAACTTGAACACTTTTCCAAGTCACCACTCTACAAGAATAAATAGCCTACTAAAGTAAAAATTTCAAACTTGTTAAATGTCTCCCTTATCCAGCCATAAATTGTAATAAACAAGGCACTGCAAAAAAACTGTTAAAAAACCCTACATAAAGCCGGCAAACAAAAAACTGCTCTTTTAGAGTCGCATAATGAATTAACCAGAGCAACCGCAACCACCAAACCAAAATTGCATTAAAAAAACGAGAAATCCTCAGCACGTAAAGCCCCATATCATTTTTCAGTAAACTTCTTGAGAACCGTAAATTTCCTAGAAAATGGAAGGCCGTCCACTCAATAGCTTTATACTCAACTAAGTAATCTATAAAAAGCAAATTACATCTTTATAACCCCTTGAACAAAAAGTCAATTCGGTTTTGAATCCTCCTCGTTACAGGGCCCTTCATCCTCTTAAAAAAATTTTAACATCTTATGTCTTCCAAAAGAAACCTCACACTTGATGACTATTCATTCTTTAATACTCTAACCAACGCCATCATTACTTAGATGGAAGGAAGAAATCAAATACCCGCGCGATAACAACGAATCACAAGAGAAAGAAGAAACAAAAGAAGAAATTTATTTCAGTGTAACAGAATTCAAATAACAAAAATAATCTTTTGCCGACATTTAATTAAAAAAACAAGCAGTAACAACCAAAACAGAAAAACCCCAACAAAAAAAAAAAAAACGAAATATCACAGAGTCCCAGAATCTTGGTCAAAATTAATAAATTTGTCTCAATGTAGTCACGAAATCTAATCTTGAAACAAACTTATTAGTAACTGCTAATAGTTTAAGTGGAAATCAGTAAAAGTAAAATAAACAAAACTATAAAGAGCAAAAAAAAAAAAATAAATAAATAAAATAAAATAAAATAACGACATAAAAAGAAAGAAATAATAAGCACCCAAGTATTATTTAAAAAAGGAATGTTAAATTATACCAGTTATTCAGTCTAAACACCCTAAGACCCGTAGCGCTACAAAAATTTAGAAGAATTTGTAATTTAAAAGTCTAATCTAATTCTGGTTCAACCATCCCCTCATGAAGCACATTCTGAGCAGAATCAGAATCATCTACAACAACTTCTAAACAATCGACATCTTCCATTATAAAGTCCACTCCATCCATATCAATTTTTTCAGCACAACGATCATTATTACCGACCTTAGTCGGAAGACCAATTTCAACCGCATCGGGACATTTCACAGCTTTCAAACGTTCCATCTCATTTCGTGTTGACACTGACAGAGAACTCACTTTCGATGTGTCCTATAATGAAACACTCAATTTTTGCTTCAACTTTAATACAGTTCTAATAGATAACCCGAAACTTAAGAAGAGGAGGCAAGACAGTCACTCTACAAAAAGAATACCTTTGCAAAATTTATAGGAGTTTTCATATAATCTTTAAAAGCCGTGTCACTGGAGAGAACCTTCCGGATGAAATTTGGTCTTACTATCTTTTTCAAAGGTCGCTTCCCATAACCGACGCCTAAACGGAAAAGATAAAAATTAGGCAAGAGAAATAAGATTTGACAAGCAAACTCAGGACCACCTAATTTGTCGTCAACTATAAATTGTTCTAAGGGCGTGCTGGCAATGCGAGATAAACTGATATTCATCCTCGAATGCTTCGATACGTGTGATATGAAATGACCAGAACATCTCGTAGTAAACGAACAACCAGCTGAGGGACAACCAAATGTAGCAGATTTGCCAAAATGTCGAGACCTAAAAGATCAATTTCAGAGAAGGAATAAAGACTAATTAAGGTAATGAGATATCAAAGAAATTAGGCTGCTGGCTTGACAAAGTTGTGATCTCAAACAACGATCATTTCGCGTCTTAAAGGTGGAACTGTAATAATTAAATTATTAAAGGAAAACTGAAGATGCAGAATTGAGCTGGCGATCTACATCATAAATAAGAAAACTAACGCAACATGTTGTTGATAACTAGCAGGTTCCATATAAAGCTCACTGCAGTAAGGGCACTTATACCCCCAACTTTGCCGTGGTGTGTGAAAACGCAAGTTATGTCGTCTTAATGTCATTTGACTGGCTAGAAAAATGAAGAATTACGTTTCCGTAGCTGAGAACAGTGCTTTTTGATTTATTGGATTTTTGTTAGCACACGCTATAGCCAAATCGATAAGTCAGTAAGATACTAGCAAAAGTAAAATAGTTAAAAGAAACTGAAGTATCTATACAGGAATTTCTCCTGAATATGCAAAAATAAACACTCAACAACAAACCTGCGGCAAAGTCGCAATGTTCACATGCGAACGGTTTCGACTGGCTATGAATGTTTGAGTGTTCGTCGAAAGAACGTTTAGAAGACAGCGTTTTGCCACATTCCCGACATGTCCATATTGGTTTACTTTTACTGATTAACTGTTTTTGCGCTTCGCCATTCTAAACTCTTGCGCAGATCAAGACAGAGAAATCGCGAAACAGCTTTTGCAAACTAATCCGCTGAGCAGAGAACTAACCGCTTCAAAGGAGTAAACGTCATTTAAACGAAAACAACTGGTGGATGCTGAATTGCTAATATAGTTAGGTCCTCGTACCTTGCTGTTACCGTCCCACCCGTTCAAAGTCGCCATGGACTTTCACGGCTAATAAAGAACTTGAGTTATATATAAAAATATATGAATAAATAAACAAACAGATAAAAGCATA